CTTTCAGAGTCACATGATAGCACTGTGTCCGGATGAGTTTAAATAGAAAAGATTATCTGTCAAAACCTTTAATCAGTGACCTAGAACCAAAAAAGGCGGTAAGTGTGAGCAGGATGGGGAAATTTGATATTCAAATATTTGATATTTGGCCTTGTTAGCTTCCTTGGGTCCTGCTCTTTGTGGACCTCTCCCTGGACTTACTTTTATATGATGTAGAACTGGGTTTCCACATTGTTTGTAACCATGTCATACAAATGCAACTTCAAGCACGAGTAAGTCTTCTAAAATTTGTGGAGGAAGCAGAGGAAAATTTTCTCCAGGCCACATGTTAGGAAATATTGTCTTGTATGTGTGGGAGAGAAGGCCTAGTTCTGAACCAGCCTTCTGGCTATTTCCATACAAAATTACTGTGGTTGATCAAAATCCTATGAGGAATTGCTCCCTGGTTATAGCTGGGATCTTTGTGTTTTCCACTGATTTGAGAATTCGGATGTGAAAGAGACCTGAATAGTTAACCTTGGCCACTGGTCCTGAGCTGTCGCACTGGGCCACACTGGTGGGTCACAATCACTTGGGAACAAAGTGCTAAAGTTTTGCACAACTGAAGAAATTAAAGATGATCCCTATGTTAATGTCATTTTCCCTCATTCTCATTCCCATGTGTTTTCTTGACAGGGACAAAATGAAGTTGCCACTTCCCATAGCTTTTGTATGTTTGTAACCATGAGCTATGTGTGTGAACAACATCCACTAGGAATGATATGGAGGAATAAAGGTTGAGAATGACCATCACCATTAGCAGTCGGCTGCCTCATGTCCAGAGGCCTGCTGCTGGGGGTCCATTTGGGGGACATGACCTCAGAGATCTAACAGGCAGCCTATGGTTTTGTACTTTCATCAGAATGGTGGGTAGTAGCAGAGGCCACCTACCCTTGAACCTCTCTTTCAGCCCTTGGACAAGAAAAAGGATTGCATTGGTTTTTTTGGAGATTGCAAACCAGATATCCCAACTCTGTCTTTAAGAGAGGGTCCTATTAAGCCTCAATGCTTTCCCTAAGTCATGGGAGTAAGGCAAATTCTGTTGTTTGCCCAGGCAAAATGAGGTGGAAAATGGTCTGATTAATCAATGTTAATTAGCCCATATGAGGAATTTGGAAAATTCAGGCCACGACACACATATTCCTCTTATAAGCAGACTTGCTGGCCCTAATGCATAGGTAAGAACTTTATTGCTCCATTTTATTTTAAATTTATAGATAGTATATCAGAGATAGAAAATTCAGCTTCCATTTTCTTAGTAAAAATTCCAAATTTTACTCCACTTCTAGTACAGAAGCAATTTAAAACAAAATAAAACAAGCATAATACAGACACATATACAAACAAAAAGTTCATCTTTATTCTGTGTACCAGATGATACCATCTTTCTTTCACATACTTCATAGTTTTCAACTTTCAATTCACTTACAAGAGTAAGGTGTGGGATATAAAAAGCTTATTCAGAATATAAGTTATCAGCTAAAGAGAGGTGACTTATTAAATAAAAATAGATCTCCCCCTTTGAGAGAACCCATTAGATGTTGCATTATACATTTAATTATGATGAGAGAAGAGACACTATCACTTCTTTTTGTATATACTTCAAAAAGTACAGTTAAATTATGGGTGGTTTAACTATTTTGTGTTTTCTACATTTTTCAAATGAAAAACTTTAAAAATATTGTCTTCATTTTGAGGGTAAAAAGCAAGGCTTGGAGATTTAAAATGAGTTTTGCAAAGTCATGCAGCTTACTCCTAGAATCCAGGTCTCCTAAATCTCCAGCTACTACCATATCCCCAGAACAGAGCAGCTGACCTGTACAATAGATTGGGGAATAATCACAAGCTTCAAACTATCCCTTGCAGTGCTATTGTCTTAAGACTTCTTGGTCTATACCAGTGGTGTTTTAGCCTCGTGAACATATAAAAATATAAAATAAAAGTTGATAAATGCTAAATTTTTTTTCTGGGGAGAAGGTAGCCTAGTCAACGTGTCCAGATGGAAATTAAGAAGTTGGTGTTCCTACCCAAGTTTATGTGCTGGGTAAGCCACCCAAACATTGTATCTCCATTTCCTCACCTGTGAAAATATTGTACTGACCTACTTTCTAGGGATAGCAGGGTGAGCTACTTCATGATTCAAAACTGCTTTGAAAATACAAACCTCCACTGAAATTGTTTGTCAAGAGTTCCTCCTGGCTTACACCTTCCTTCTCATGCCCTTCTCTGGCATATAAGTCCTGTAGACTTGGTATTTTTCTATGTCTGAACTAAAAGTCTACAAAATTAACCAGTAATATTCAAACTGGAAATATGTCCCTTGGTATTTTGTTCAAATAAGAATGGAGTCATTATTTCTCTGAAACCTGAGTGCAAAATATGTGATGTATGTGTCTGTGTGTGTGCATATATATAACACAACTAGGTAGAAGCCCATTGGGCCTGGAAGCAGCATCATGTGGGCACTTCCCCTGGCTTCATTTGATATTGTGAAGTTTAACATCACCTGGACAATAAGAATTAGTGGTACAGTCTAAAGTGGGGAAGACAGAGATGTTTTCTCTTCTTCTGTCTCCCCTCATTTACTCCCCCTGCCTCTCTGCCAGTGGGAGGGGAAGTGGAGACAAAATATCAACAAAGCAAGATCAGGGAAGGTAGGCCAGTAGTTTGCATGAGCTGTTTTCACCAACTAAAATATTGTTGAGTGAAAGGAAAAGGCTCCACCAAGAACAGAGCTCCTCCTTCTTCCACCCCACCTCAAACCCTGACAGGGCTGGCTGACAGACGATGAAGAGGTGATGTGGGTGGTCACATTACAGACCCACACCATGGAACACTAAACTATGGGCATGACATGGATTGCAGGGACCCCAGCCTTCTAAATTACAGCTGGAATCCTCTTCAATTGCTCTCTCTTCTTTCATATTTGAATATTCTCAAAATTTCTCAATGTTGATCTTGAGTTTTTGGTTAGTGAAAATGTTTTTCTCCATATATTTCACTTTCCTTGGGCCATAAATATCTTATAACTCTCCCGGTACCTACAAAAGCAGTCTGTGTATAGCAGGCAACTGTGAATGACTAACAAAAATAGTTCTAGATGTTATCCAGGAGAGGTCAAATGTTCTGTGAATCTGGGAGTGTATCTCCAGGCTCTTGCCAGTTTACTCTGGAAATGTGTATACTTTTTGTTTAGGGGGCTTTCTTTGGTTAATGACCACCCCTAGCATACTCATGAAGACCCCACAAAATCTGTCTTAAGCAAGAGAGAATTAATCCTTCCCCTTTTCTGATAAGCTCTGATATGCTCTCAGATTCTTTTAAGTTGTTTTCTCAGATTTTTGAGGAAGAAAAGAAATCCCTGTGGCCGTCTAGTCTAGTCACCCACTAGGTTTCTGTAGTCTCGCAACTTCTCCCTGGGATGGGCTCCCAGTCTCTGGGTGAAGCCCTCCGGGGACAGCGACCACAATCCCTCCTGAGGCAGCCCTTCCCCTCTTGGAACAGCTCTGTCTTATAGCACGGTTTCTAAAAAATGGAGTTGAAATATGTCCGCCCTGGATTTCTGCCTCATGTAACCAGGGAAAAGAAGCCTGATGAGTCTTATGTGTCTTCCCCAACTCATAAACCATCCCCGAGTCTCCTCTCCTAGCTAAACAGTCTTGCTTCCTTCCAGCAAACAATTGCTTGGCTCCTGAAGGTGTCATGTCTTGTGGGACAGAGATGAAATCCTGTAACTCCTAGAATCCTGGAACAAACCTGTTTATGGAAGAAATGTGAGCATTCCACATTTCCTCTCCTTTGCACTGGATGAGCCCATGCCCAGTACTTCTGCTGAAGGCAGGCACTCTTGAGAGTGTGCCCAGGCAAGGAGACCTTTCTTCCTACCATTGCCCTTCAAGCTTCACACCTGCTCCCTCTCTGAGGCATGAACAACAGTGAGGCTTGGCATGATGTCTGAGGATAACAACACTGATGCCCCAACACCTCATTACACGACAGCCGCTACCCTAGGAGCTCATAATTCAAAGTATAAGGAGAACCACATTTTCCTCTAATATAAGATCTACGTTTAATTTAACTAGTAAGAGTAAATACAAGTCACCTAAATGTTTCTGGTTATGGTGTACTGTTAACATGGTCAGAGATCATCAATGTTCCTCATCACTGGAGATGCCCAAAATGACAGCCAGAGGAAATAAACCAGTGTTGAATAAGGCCAGGCTAGTGGGGGATTTCGTTTCTTGTTTGGTTTTAAAGTTAGTCATAGAATTATGGCCTATGGAGATTAAAGCATTTAATATGTCATTCCTTAACTAATGAAGGGGAAATAATTAGGTAGTATGTTCTGTTCTCTTTAGGCTCGTGCAATAAACATTTTGATTTAGGACAGTTTTTGTAAGACTAGACTAGGCATATTTAAGTGTAGTTTATGTGGACTATCACATAACCTTTGATCCTTGGGGAAACACCTTGAGAATCATCTAGGACTGGAGCTATCTAGAGCAGGAGTTTAAAGTATTGGTCTGTAATATTCAGTTAACCTGATCCCCCAATATCTTTTCATCAGCCTCTCCAGTTAGATCACTCTCTGGGCTCCACCTGTATTCCTTGGCAGCAAAGCCAGCAAAACTAATATGTTGTTAAAAGGTTTCCTACCTACCCCATTTTGACACATTTGCATAAACTGGATCTCCAACCGTAAGAACAAATCACCTCCAACATACACATGCACAACAAATAAAACTCAAAAGTATAGTATAGGGTCTTCTGCCTTTGGTACATTTCCCTCCCTCCTCTCTCTGCCAGGCCTTGGGCTAGGCACTGGAGATCCAGAGTGAACAAGCTCCAGTCTCTGCCCTGACCTCACAGTTGAGATGAGGTAAAGAATCAGCTGTAAAACCCAGTGTGCTGACTGCTGGAACAGAGGGTGCTGAGGCATATAGGGGATGACGAGGGGCTAGGATGATGAGGGTGGGATGGAAGGCTTTGAGACATACCTGATCCTTAAACTGAATCTTGAAAGATGAGTAGGAGTCAGCCTGATAGTTGAGGAGGGACAGAGGGATACCCTCTGATTCTGTGTACCTTAACTTCAGAATGTGGCTTTCCCCAGCTGTTGGACTTGTCTTCCACTTCACCTTGGGCCCTCAGTACCTGATGAGTTACAATAGCTACCTACCACTTATTCAACACCTATTACATGTCAGACTCGAGGATAGTAACAGGGGCTTCATATGTATTTTCTCAGTTAATCCTCCCAGCAACCCTTATTAAGGTAGGTATACAGATAAGAGTTCTTTGTTTCTATAAATCACAGAAACTGATTCAGCTAACGTATACAAAAACACAATCTACTGGAAGAACATAGGGTAGCTCACAGAATTCAAGAAGATGATGAACAATCCGGCCCCCAAAAGGACAGAAACCTGGTGGCTCAGGAAATGTGGGCAGCAGGAACCGATGGACAGTCCCTTCATAACACCATCCTCAGAAGCAATCAGCTGTAAATATTTTCCACCTTTGGGTTACCCCACTCAGGATTAAAATTCCAGGGAGGCAAAATTTGACTGCCCATGGGGTAGTCAGGCCACCTTGATTAACACCAGGACTCTACTTGACTTGGGAGAAATCAAGTTGCTTTTAATAGAACAGGGAGAGGGAAATCTGAGTAGACAAAAACGACAGCTGTCCATTAGTACAGGTGATGTTTTCTTCTTTATACAGATCAGGAAGCTGCAACTCAGAGAAGCCAAGCAACTCTCCTCTAAGATTACACAGACAATAAACGACATGGCTAGGATTTCAACTGAGGCCTTCCAGACTCCAAAGTCCAGATGTCTCCCATTCTTCCTGGCTGCCTATTTGTCTGAACTGCTTTTGGAATCAAGCCATGCCTGGTAGGCTGAAACTTTGCTGTCAGTCCCAGAGCTGGGTCCATCTCCTCAGTTCCCATATCAATTCCTAGGGGATGGCTCCAGAAACATCTTCCTGTCCCCTCACATAAGCCCATCTTGCTATGAGGAAGTTGCCATGCTCTGCTGCCCTAATGGGAGACAAGAGACGATTAAACCACAGCCTGTCTCTCCAATGTCTACCCATTGACTGTTTTGCCCCTGTAACAACACATAATACTCCCTTCTCCACATGCTGACCTTCCAAATATTTGAAAAGAGCTATCTGACCCACCCATATCTTCTCTTCACAAAGCTAAATATCCCTGTTCCTCTAATGATTCCTCATACTGCTATCCCATATAACCACATGGGGATAATTTCCATATGTTGGCTAATTCTCCAAGACTTACATCAGATGAGAATCTGGCCCTGTATGAAAAGAAACCATTTCCTCTTGCTTTCTCTTTCTGATTCATTAGATTTCATATAAACCTTTCTGATGACTACCTGCTGTTTCCAGATTCAGCTGCAACCCAATATGACTCACTAGGCAAAATTCTTATTCTTCAGTCCTCGTTTATCTTTCCCCACCAACCCAAGGCCCCCAAAGGCACCCCTGAGAAGCCACAGCCAATGGGCAATATATGTCCATGAAAAACACCAAGTATGATTCCTTCCCATTTTTTTAGTTTATATGTAGTCATATGACTTTTTAAAATCAAGGTTATTGTTCAATGTAAATAATTTTAAGTTTGAACAGCTGTAATCACATCCTCCAAAGAAAATACCCTGAAAAGTTGTTCAAGTTGTTGTATGCCAGACCTACCCCCCTAATCTCTTTAATTGTTCTTTCCACTTAAAAAAAAAAAAAGTAGAGACTTGAAAAGTGTTGAGCATTTGTAGGACATTTCCTCACAAAGACAGTAGTTATGCTGTTTCTGAAAAAAAGTGTCTGATTATATAAACAGTCATGGAACCTCAAAGCTTGAATTGGAAGAAACAGAAAAGAAGGAGAATTGCAAATATAAGGAAAGAAGTTTAGGATTTTTCTGGTCAGAATTTATAGCCAGGCAACTCAGAAGACTGGAGCTGGCCCAGTATAGAATTAAGTAAATACTGGAAGAACTGGACTGAATGAAACCACGTCCTAGGCCTAGCATGAGAGCCACAGTCAAATATTCCCATCCTTTTGCTCTTCAGAAGGTGATTCAAAATCTACCATTTAGAATCTGCACATCATAGAAAATGAACTGAACTGAAACAGTGATACTTTATCGTCTGGACTCTGTTGATGACAAATCACTACATGATTTTGAAGGTCCCCTCCACAAAACCATTGGTCAGTGACCATTTCTCTAGGGAGATGATCTGTAAGAATGAGTCTTGGTAAGAGGACAGAGCAGTTTCAATTTCTATATTGTGTTGTTCCATCTAGAACAAAGGGATAGAGAGTTTCTCCCAGTTCTCTGTTTGACTGGACTTAAAATGTGCAGGCTGAAGAATGAATTGTTAGATGGACCTGGTTGCTTCTGTGGTCACTGGCTATGAGGTTTATGGAATGATGAATCTCAGAAGACTGATTAGAAGTCATCTGGTACAAACCTTTGTCTGATGCAAAAATGCCTCCACAAGACCACTGGGCAGTGGTGTTTAATATGGTGGCTACCTCAACACATAGGGGTAGGACGCCTGCCACCTTCCAAAGCAGCTCATTTTATTCTGAGATGTTTCTAAATGTTATACCCTTTCTCTATTCAACAGAAATCTACCACCTGTTGGTCTAGAGCCAAAGAGAGTAATACTTGCAATGTCCCTAAACATTCCAGTATCTCTCAACTGCTCTTCATATCACATAATTCCCAGACTCTTTACTTCCTTGATCACCCTTTTAGTGCAGACCTCATTTTTTTCCAAATCCTTATGCATAATTAGAATCTCGTCCTCCTACTGGGTGAGCATCCCAGATTTGTAGAGGCCTAGAGTTCAAGCTTTATGAGGGCAAGAGTTGTACGTTTCACCAGCAACTAGTAATGCCTAAAATGTTGTAAGTACTCAAAAAGTATTTTCTGAATGAATGACTCTTTGGCCTTTTCTTTAGTTGCGTTAGGTAGTTACAAGGAATGTCAAAAGCCCACTTTCCTCCTAATGGATGGGAAATTATGCGCTTTGTGTTTTAATTTGAATAAAGGAATGGCTCCTATAAGCAGAGCCAGGTTAGACTTGCTGGAAGGCTGATAACTTATGCTTTAAAATGTTAAACTACATGGAAACATCATTACCAGAGAATAATTCAAACATTGGGCAACTTTGCCTCAGCATGTGTTGTACTGATGTTTTCATGTACCTTTGTGATTCATACAGCTTTTTAGGATCTTTTGATTAACAAGAGAAAAAGTCATACATCAGCAAGAAGAAAAACTTTGGAATTTTGCCTTACTCAATATGTTAAGTAATCACCTGAATTTGCAGAAGACCACTTCTAGCAACTGGCTAATAGCTGAACTGGATAATTCACTATTTGCATTGCTGTGTACCCCTCTAAGTGACTTTTGGGATGGGTATGGATGTGAGTGACTCCAGTGGAGTGAAACATAGCTGTCAAATTTTTTATGTTCACTTGAAAAACACAGAACATAAAATCCCTGTGATTTCATCTCAACATTCCCAGCCTCCATGAACAGACTTTGGCTTGTCCTTGACCAAAAGGAGATCCAGGTCTTGTGTCCACCACACCCAAGTGCAGTACAGGACTTCTCTGGGAAGTGGTATAGATCAGCAGGCACCTCCCACTGAGGACAAGAAAACAATCTACTAATGGGATTTATTACCCCTCCTACCACTTCCAGTTTTAGTAAAATTAAATTAGCATGAACATATTTTTCTGTAGTGCACTCATACTGGGCTCACTCTTACGTGCTCTCTCTCATTTTGTGTGTGTGTATCTGTGTGTACATGTGCACTTAGTTTCATTTTACACTTTCACAAATAGCCAGAAGACTGCAGAAGGCATAGCCAATCAGTCCCCCAGTTCCGGGCAAGGAATTACAAACCAAAGGAAATCAGCTTTAAAAGCTTTTTTGGCCCCTCATATTATTATTAAGCTAAGCCTAATGAGGATATGAGGGGGGAAAGGAGGTGGTATACTTTCTAAAGAAACTAACCTGAAACTATTTAGAGACATGGTATATACAGTTTCTGTTTAAAAAAAGGGAGGGGTTCTCAATACCTTCTTCTCTTCCTAAGGCTTGAAATAATCCTTAAAGCCAATATAATTACAACATTTATTTCTAGTCAACATCTCTTTGTTAGCTTTTTCTAACCTCAGCCTTGTATATCCTCCAACTCTAGAAACCACCTCATTTAAACTAAAAAAAAAAAAAAAATACTGTAAAACAAAAAGACCCTTAATTATATATGGTTCTAATTTTTAGCAAAGACCAACAGTTTATTACAGAAAAACAGAGATTAAGTAACTAACAACAAAATCTGTTCTTTACTTGGTGATCCTGGATTGACTGACCTTTTCCTAAGATGATGTCTATTGTTGTAACTGGGAAACAATACCTATTGAGGGATAGGATTCTGTCTGTAAAGAAATGATTATAATTCACAGAGAAGATTAAATGTTCACTAACAAGCTTTTCATTTTTCCTAAACTTCCTAGACCAAAACCTCACTAGACCCTATTTCTGCAATTCCCACAGAAGGATTTCACTAAGAGTTTTGGCTATCTTTCTTCCAGTTCCTACTGCCGTTGGTTGGAATTCTCCACAGCAGTCTGACTCATTCTAGGGGCTGAGAGTAGGGGCCTCCACATTGTGAAGTTCAAGGCTCCTATAAAAGAAGGCCAGACGGTGTAACCGCAACTGGTTAAATAAAGGCCCAGGGGAAAAGGCAAAATAATTATGGGGAAAACTCCCAGGTTTTATGGAGGACTTGTTGATTTGAGTTTTCTTTCTTGCTTTTATTCAAATAAAAGGTTTAGTATAAGGTGTTTACATGTGCCTTCTTGACCTTCCAAGTGATAACCAAAATGTATGCAGTGGGAAGACTTTAATCCCAAACTATCTATCTCTACAGCGTCAGATCATTACAATTTTTGGTGCATGGAGGACAAACAGAGAGCAGAACACCCCATTGTAATGGTATTTATTTGTTTATAGGTCTCTCCTACTCAGATGGAAACTTTATCAAAGGCAAGAACTGTGCCCTTTGTTTCTTTTATCCCCGAAGCCTTGTTGAATGCCTGGTACATAGCCAATAAATATTTATCGAATTAATCCATGAAGGTAAATCCAAAGTATGCCATTAGTGTTAATTGTTATTACTGGCGAGACCTTCTGTAGGCAAGAAAATGGGCCCACTATGGCTCTGGTAACCACTGTGTCTTTTGAGGCCCAACATTAAGCCCTTTTTCATTCTCCTTGCCAAGCATGGAGCCTAAGAAGGCCTCAGTTTGATTTCCATATTTGGATCATGCTGAGTGCAGACCCCAATTCTATAATCCATTTCCTTCTGAGGCTGTTGGCATCTCTGGAGTCAGGAAGTAACATCTGCTTCAGTGAGCTGATTACCAATGAGAAAAAAGAGGTAAAGGCCAGCGTTAGGTGGGGTCTGGCTTAGCTTCAAAGCAGGCATATGGCTTGTATCTTAATGAGAGAGTTTACATATTCAGGAAAGATACATCTGAAGGGCAAATTAACTGGTTCAAGACTAAGCGCATAAATAAAATGTTGCTGATTAGATTTCTCTAAGTCGGTGACAAACTATCTTGTAAAAGTCCTCATATCTCTGCTTCCCTCTCAGTTCCTACTGCATCACTTTAGTTGGGGCCCTGGTTGCCTCAAGCCTGGATTACTATAGGGGTTCCTTGTGATCTACCTTTGTTGGATGTCTCTTTGCACCAAATCTG